AAGAGCAAACTACATGGCTCCAGGTAATTATGGATGACCTTGAGGTTGACCCTAAATATAAGTGCACCCGCAGCCTTAGCCATGAATTGGTTAAGTGTTCTGAGAACCATAAATGGAAAGCACAAGTGATAATAAATGATTCTATCAAGCTTTGCCTCAACCTCCCTCAAGATTCTTGTACAATCCTCAGCTCCAAGGTACATAAGCATCTTGCAGTCATTAACAGATTTTCTCCTCCAAACACTCCTATGCGGGTGGGAGAATTATCCCTGTTGTACAGATGGGGAGCTGAGGTATAAGATAGATTTAGCAACCTGCTCAAAGGTCAGACAAGACCACTTCCCTTTCCATCAGGTCAGGAAGAATGCCTTCATTTGTACACATCTCGGAGATTAGAGGGGTACCCATTCTATGACATGAACCTCTCCAGAGCAATGTCACTACCAACAGTTCTCATGACAGATCCAGTTCATCTCATCAGCAGAGAGTAAATGTGTGGCTGCCACATGGAGCAGGGTGCTTCTTGGAGTCATGCAGCCAGAATACACATACTAATATGGTAGCATTGGAGTTATGCAACTCAACCATGCACAACTCGGTTGCAGCAACCCAGTCTTTTTGTGACTTCTTTACATCTCCTGTCCCCCAGAAACTCACCTGCATCCAAATGCTTCCTGGCTTCCCTCATAGCTGCTGCATCCTGCTGACGGCAGTACACCTGCAGGGAGGTGATGTCCCTCCACTCCAGCAACACCTAAGGAGAGAGGGAAAAGACACAGGATCCTAATGGATACCTTCTTGTTCTTTAGATGCTGGAGTGGAGACAAACTGTTCTGCTATCAGAAATGCATTCACACACACTTCCCCCAACTCTATCTTACACCAACTTCAGCAGGCAGGTGTACCCGCCTACTCCTAACAGAAATTTTTATTGCCACAGCTGTGTTCCTGAGGGGAGCCATCCATCTGGGCCCCCTTTCCATTTGCTGAAGATACAGGCAGTCCTCAACTTACAACATTTTGAGTTACGTTTCCCACTTATATTTCTAGATCAACACCCTATTTCACCCTGTCTGACCGCTCACGTAGGTTCCTAGCCGAGATACAGGACCTCCATCTAACTCAGGAGGTGCACAGCCCCACCAGGGAAGACGCCTTGTTGGATCTGGTGCTGGCCACAGTTTTTCTTTTTACAGCTATCACAGTATAGGCTCTGCTGTGCAATTTAAACGTCACAGGAGACTGCTGCTTACAAGTTGATTCTTATTTCCTGAGAATCTGAAAATATCAACTGCATCATTTGTGCAGTGAGGCTCACAGAAACATGGTGGGACCCAAAGCATGACTGGGCGGTGAATATCAAGGCTATAGGCTATATAGGAGGGACAGGACAGGGAGGAAAGGTAGGGGAGTGGCACTCTACATCAAGGAGGAATACACATCCTCATCTAGTAGCACAAGGTCAGATGAGTGCTCTGGGTTAGAATACAAAGAAGTCGAGGGGAAAGGGACTTAACGGTGGGGGTCTACTACAGGCCACCCAACCAAGGGTAAGAGCTAGACCGGGAATTCTTCAGTCAGCTCACGGACGTAGTTAGGTCAAACAATGTGGTCACCATGGGGGACCTGAACTTTCCAGACATCTGCTGGGAAGAGCAGTCAGCCAGGTCTGACTGCTCACATAGGTTCCTATCCGAGATACAGGACCTCCATCTAACTCAGGAGGTGCACAGCCCCACCAGGG